CACACCGAACGAAGCAGAGGAGGAATTCTACACAAGCTTGAACGCCGCCGAAAAAGCAGCCTAATCATTGAACCAGAAACTCTCCGGTAAACCCGGGGCGGTTCAATGGGCATGGCGATACCTCCTGCCCCCACGCCCACCCTTACTTCGGATCCGACAGGCGCTACAGTAACATGGAACTTTGAGTCGATTTACTCCATCGCGCGGGCGGAGAGCCGCCTGACGGCAGTGCGGCACGGTCGCTCCATCGAAGCCGAGAATTCGTGATTGTTCCTGCTTCCACCTCAGATGCTCTCTTCCCAGTTCCTCCCCCGCGCAAATACGCGCAGAATTGTCACGCGCGTATTATCAACTACAAAGGCGATGGTCAGGCGGCGTTCAAAGCCGATGATGCGCAGACCGGGGCGAATATCCGCGCGCAGATGCCCGCGCTCGGAACCCAAGCCGAGCCGCTGACAGAAGGCCTCCACCCGTTCCAGATATGTCATGGCAACAACCGGCGATGCCTCAGCGGCGATCCAGTCATACAGCGCCACGAGATCCCCGGCGGCTTCCGGGGCAAAGACGACCCGGCGCGCTTTCACGAACGGCCAGCCAATGCCTTTGCATGACGTTCGCGGATGGAACCGAACACCTCATCCGCCGCAAGCGCCCGTCCCGGATCAGCCTCCATCCCATCGTAAACTGGGGCTACCTCCTCTCGGAGCCAGCGTTCAACTGCGGCATTGCGCTCCTGGAGCGCCCGAAGCCCTGCGCGGACGACCTCGCTGGCGGACGCATAGCTTCCAGAGGCGACGAGATCATCGATGAAGGCGGTGTGCTCGGGTGGCAGGCTGACAGTGCGTTTCTCAACAGTTGCCATGAACGATGCTCCGATACGGTATGGCAAATTCATACCATATCGGAGCGATGGTGTCACGCCCTTCGAACTTGTAAGACCCGGCGCTCAGCACCCATAAACTATTCGTCCGTTGGCGCTTACGGAAGTCAACCGGCGTCGCGCGGCCGACAGACTTCCATCACGCTGGCGACGGCATGGCTGTCGCTGCCGTCTTGCCCTTGAAGTCGGTGATGACCTCGCCGATCAGCGCCCGTAGCCAGCGGTGTGCGGGATCGTGCCGGTAGCGGACGTGCCACGCCATTTCCACGGGAAAGCTGCCGAGGTCGACCGGGGCTGGCAGGATCTTCAGCCGGGGGTCGTGCGTCAGCCGCCTGCAGATGAGCGAGGGCAGGATGGCGCAGTAGTCGGTCACCGCCACCATTTCGGCTACCGCGAAGAAATTGGTCACGGAGATCGCGACGTCGCGCTTGAGCTGGTGCTGCGCCAGCGCCTGGAACAGCCCGGCGCGCATCCGGCCAGGCGGCACGATGTTGACGTGCTTCATCGTCTCGAACTGCTCGCGCGTCATGGCATCGCCGATGGCCGGATGGTCGGCGCGGACGGCGCAGGCGAGCCCTTCGTCCATCAGGTGCTGGACGACGAGGTTGTCGAGCGGGTCGACGATGCGGCCCAGCACGAGCGCCGTCGTGCCCGACACGACGCCTGTCTCAACGAGATCGTTTCCGTAGGGCGTCAGACGGAGCTTTATGCCGGGCGCGACCTTCTCAAGGCGCGCGACGAGAGCGGGGACGAGGACGAACTCGACATAGCCGTTCGGCGCGATCGTGAAGAGCCGTTCGGCCTGTGCGGGGTCGAATGCCTGCTGACCGAGGACCGCGTCGTCGAGCTGCGCTGCTGTGCGTCGATATCCAGGAAGAGACACATGACGTCAAGAGCTTCACCTTCGTATCGCCACAGGGCAAGCAGTTCGCCTTTCGCGCCGGGCAGTATTTCCGCTTCCAGCTCGACCCGGACGATCCAGATGGCAGTCGTTGCTACAGCATCTCCTCCTCGCCCCTGCGGGCCAACGCGATCACGGTGACTGTCAAGCGGGTGGCAGGGGGCAGGGTCTCGAACTGGATGCATGACAGGCTGCAAGCGGGGACGCGGGTAAAGGGCATCGGACCATCTGGCGATTTTGTCCATTCGAGCGCTGATCGGCTGCTGTTGCTGTCCGCCGGGTCAGGGATCACCCCAGTCATGTCGATGCTGCGCGAAATGGTTGACCGGGCGCAGCCGGTCGACGCCGTCTTTCTGCACGCCTGCCGCTCGCCACGGGACATCGTTTTCCGTGCTGAGTTGATGGCCCTGATCCCGCGACTGAAGGGCATGCGCCTGCATATCCTGCCCGAGAGCGTGGATGGGGAACGTGGTTGGCCGGGTCTGTCGGGCCGCATCAGCCGTGATTACCTTGCGCTGGTGGTCCCGGATCTCGCTCAGCGCCATGTCCTGTGCTGCGGCCCGGAGCCGTTCATGGCGGCGGTCGAAGCCATGACCCGTGATATGGGTCTGCCCCCTGCGCGATTCTTGCGCGAAAGTTTTGGCGGTGTGGAAAAAGTCGACCTGCCTGCCGCCACCGCCCCTGGTGCAGAGGGATTGTTTCAGGTCCAGTTCCTCAAGCAAGGCAAGACGATCGAGATTGGTGCCGATCAGACGGTGCTGTCATGTGCGCGCAAGGCGAGTGTTCGTATTCCCTCATCCTGTGCAAATGGTGTCTGCGGCACCTGCAAATCGAAACTGGTCAAGGGCAGTGTAGACATGAACCACGCAGGCGGAATCCGCCAGCGCGAGATCGACGCAGGTTTCTTTTTGCCATGCTGTTCGCGCCCGCGAAGTGATCTGGTTATCGAGCGGTAGATCAAACGACGGCGAAAGTCAGTCTGCTGAGGGTGCTTCGATGTGGCTATTGGCAGCCACACGGCCTGCGCCGAGGCAGTGCTGGCCTATCGCGGTGAGCGTCCCGGCCACGGCTGGGAATTCTTGCCGGTGCTGACGTCGCTGCAATCCTATCGCGGCAGCTATCGCTTTCGCCAGTTGATCGAGATCGACGACCTGCTGCCCTGGAACTTCAAGCCGGCAAGCTGAAAGCAGGTGCGGCGCAGCCGCCGCTTACCTATGGGCTGACCATCCTGTGCCTTCGAGCAGATGAACCATGCCCCTGCCCAGACAGCCGCTGGCCGGGGCCCATGCCACGGATGTCGGCTTCGATCCGGTAAAGCTCGGCGATCCGGCGCAGACCCTCGGCCGCGACTTCGGAACCGTCGCGATCGAAGATCTCGATCAGCTTGCACCGCGCTTGGGCCCAGCAATGGGCGACGGTGATCGACACACCGCCTGTCCGGGAGGGCCGTGTCAGGCGGTTGTAGCCGGGATAGCCATCCACCTGCAGAATGCCGTCAAAGCCCTGCAGGATACGCTCGGCATTCTCGCCCGCGCGGTCGGGGGCGTAGGTGAAGACCACGCCGGGTGGATCTGCCCCGCCCCATGACCGGTCATCGCGCGCCAGGGCCCAAAGGTAGCCTGTCTTCGGTCGCCCCCTGCCAGGATCGAGCACGGGTGCGGTGGTCTCGTCCATGAACAGCTTGTCCGAACGCTTCAGATGTTCGGCGAGCCGATCGACCACGGGACCGAGATGGAAGACCGCGGTGCCGACCCGGCTGGTGCGGGCCGGCTGCAATATCGGGGAGTTGGCCGGGCACATGGGCTGGAGCCTTGCATACACCGCGCAGATGCTGAGCCGTTACGCGGCCATCCATCCGGACATGACCGATGACCTGCCACTGAACTTTCATCCAACGGCATCTTGGACAAGGTGCTGTCCACCGAACTGAGACGCGCCGCCCTGGCTGCTCCGGCCCAGGTCGAAGGCGGCGAATAAGCCCGCTTTGGGAGCGATTAGACCGGCAGAGCATGATGGATAAAGCGGCCGCTCACAGCGGCCGTAAGCGGTCTCCCTTGACTGGGATCTCGAACATCGACCCCCTCTGGACCAACTCGATCTGCGCCTCGATCGTCGGCCAGATGACCATGAGACGCTCCATCTTCTTTAGCAACGTCGCCTTCTGCAGCGCCGGCGCGAAGATGAACGCAATCAGCCGGGAGGACCGAAATGCGGTTTGTTCAGCCTTATTCTTGGAGATGCGCCTGTCCGCCGACAAAACTGTCCAATTTCCGTCGGCACTCAGCTCTCTGATCCAGTCGACGTCTTTCACGCCCCGGCCGAATTTCAGGAGGATGTGATCTACTTCATGCTGGCCCCTGAACAGTTCGGCCAACGCGCGGGCCAGGGCCGGAGGCAGATTCTCGTCCACCATGACCCTCAAGCTGCGGCCAGCTCCTCGTGATACTTCACGGCGTCCACGACGACCGACCTGTCCACTTCATAGAGTGCTGCCACCCGCGCCACTGACCCTTCGGCCCGCACGGCGTCCGCCAAGACTTCGGTGGGCACCCCGAAGGCAGCCGCGATGGGTTGTCCGAAGGACCGTTCAGGGTCGACCACGATCGAGCCCTTGCCGTGGAAGGGCCGCCACCTCAGGACCTCGTCGGCCTCGATGTCCAGATCCTTGAAGGTGCGCTCAATCACCGACTTGAACGCGTATTGGTTCTTGCGAAGATCAATCAGGGCCGGATCATCGGACCCGGCGATGCCCTCCAGGAAGATCGTCTTCCCGTCGGTCCGAAAGCGCCCGGTGGAGAAGGGCTGCTCCTCACGAACGCAGTCCTTCGCCAGGTTCAGGCAGGCGCGGACCGCCTGGAGGCTCAGCCCCTGTTCGACAAACGCCTTGACGAAGCGAAGCTCGATCAGGTCCCGGAAGCTGAGGGACAGCTGATCATCGATCCTCCCGAACCGGGGGCGCCACAGCGGGTCTATGACCCTCGTCTGGCCTCCGCGGCTATAGGCGTGCCCCTCCAGCCACCGCCGGACCGTCGCCGGGGAGGTCTTCAGGAGCCGGGCGGCCTCCGGGGCGGTGTAGAGCCCTTGGCCGACGAACTCATGGGGGCGGACTTGCTTGGTCATGCCTTACTCTTACTCCGGGGCGTTCCCTGGGCAAGCCCATACCGTGCCGAGATGGCACCCGCGATCTTCACGAAACCAGAAAGAGTCGAGGGGAAGTGGTCGGAGTGGAGGGATTCGAACCCCGACATCCTGGTCCCAAACCAGGTGCGCTACCAGACTGCGCTACACTCCGAATCCTTCACCGAGATGACGACTGTAAACCAAACTGTAAACTGGCCGGATAATGGCCTCTGCAAGACTGATTTACAGCGCTTTTCAGTAGTCAGGCTTACGCTACCCAAACCCGCCTCGGGGGCTGGCGCTGGCCGGCTGCTCGGACACGCGATAGGCGCCGGCCAGCACATGGCCGTCCCCCTCAGGCGAAAACAGCAGCACCGCGCAGCGATCCGGAACGCCCGGGGTGTAGCACGCAAGCCCCGGTCCCAGCGCCCAAGCGTTCAAATGAAGATGCGGGATTCAAGCGCCGGGCAAAACCTGGGCCCAGTCCTGTCATTCTCGCACACACCTATCGCGGCATATTCAGTGAAGATTTGAAGGGATGTTCATTTCCTCATGCGCTGCTCCGACGCTTTCACCGCCGGAGCCATGCACGAGGCCTCATACCCCCAGCCGCGACACCGTCCAACTGCCGGCGTGACCCCGGCGCAGATGTGCCGCGACCAGTTGGAACCCGCTCTGCGGCCAGCCCTGCGGCGTATCGATCCGCACCAGCTCGGCGATGCCGAACCCCGCCTCGTCGAGATCGCGCAGCCGTGCCTTGGTGGTCAGGTTCGTCAGCGGCGCCAGCCAGACGATGTTTGGCGCGATGCGCATCGCATGGCGGGTGAACTCCCGCAGCCGCGACCAGGGCGGGTTGGTCATCACCCAATCCACCGGCTGGTGCCAGTCGAAGAAGTCCCGGCCCTCGCCGATCTCGCACCAGTGCCGATCGAGATGGGCCGGGAAGCCATCGTGGAACGCCCCCTGCCCCCGCGCCGGATCGAGCACGCGGCCGCTCAGGCCCGGGGCGAAATGCCCGATTACCGCGGCTGCAAGTTCCGGCGGCGTCATCACCAGGTCCCGAGCCGGCGCGTTGCGTGCCGGCACCAGGCCGCACCCGACCGGTGCCACGCCGCGCAGCATCAGCCGCAGCCCCAGGATCTGCAGCGCCCGCGCCAGGGTCGCGACGCTGCCTGCGAGCCTGCGCTCCAGCGCGATCAGCGTCGGTCGACTGCAGCCGATCCGCCGTGCCAGTTCCGCCTGGCTGATTCCCCGCGCCTTGCGCCGCCCCGCCAGGGCAGCCGCCGCATCCTCGCCATGTGGAACCCATCCCCAGCGCAGGCCCAGCACCCCCATGATCGCAACCAATGGGCCAAGCCCACCCTCGCCCCGTTCCAGCGCCCGCAACGTCGGCACGCTGATCCCCGTCGCCCGTGCGACGTTGCCCTGCGTCATGCCCCGCGCGCGGCGGGCTGCCAGAAGAGTGTCCATGTCAAGGATCCTTTGCATTCCGGGCAGCAAAAAGCAAAGGATGATTTACATTGGGGGCGGCGGGGTTACCTCAGGAAGCCGACAGTTTAGGCGGAAGGACTAAGAGGGCGTTTCAAAACCACTTGCAGGCGGATTCGTTCTGTTAGATTCGCTGTTTATGTCTGCCACGCTTGTCTCTGATGGCCTTTGGGCCGTGATCGAACCTTTGTTGCCATCCACGTCTCGGTCCGCGAAAGGCGGGCGGCCTCGGGTCTCCGACCGGGCCGCTCTGGCCGGGATCATGTTTGTCCTGCAGAGCGGCATCCCCTGGCGGATGTTGCCCGCGGAGCTAGGCTGCGGCTCGGGCGTGACCTGTTGGCGAAGGCTCAGGGATTGGCAGTTGGCCGGTGTCTGGGATCAGTTGCATCAGGTTTTGCTGCGCCAGCTGCATCGCGCCGGTCATCTTGACTGGACCCGGGCCTGCATGGACAGCGCGTCCATCGCGGCGAAAAGGGGGGCGAAGCCACCGGCCCTAACCCCACCGATCGCGGGTGCCCTGGCACGAAACGCCACATCGTCACCGACAGGCGAGGCATTCCCCTGACGGTGCGCCTCAGCGGCGCAAACGTCCATGACAGCAGGATGCTCGATCCGCTGCTCGACGCCATTCCTCCCATTCATGGCAAGCGTGGCAGGCCGCGCCATCGGCCCGGCAAGCTGCATGCCGACAAGGGGCTTGCACCAATCGCGGCATCAAGCATCGCATTGCCAGGAAGGGCATTGAGAGCAGCAGTCATCTTGGAAAGCAACGCTGGGTCGTCGAGCGCACATTCGCCTGGCTCTCTAAATTCCGGCGCCTCGCCGTCAGATACGAGCGCAGGATCTGGCGGGCTGGACCGGCACCCTGCAAGCCGATGCCTATGGCGGTTACAACGACCTCTACCATGCCAGCCACAGGCCCGCGCCGGTGCTGAGCGCGCTGTGCTGGTCGCATGCCCGGCGCAAGTTCTTCGAACTGGCGGATATCAAAGCCACGGCCCGCAAGGGCAGATCGGTGGCCGAGGAGATCTCGCCCATCGCGCTGGAAGCCGTCGAACGCTTCGACGCCATCTTCGATGCCGAGCGCGAGATCACCGGCCTGACCGCCGAGGCCCGCCATGACGCCCGTCAGCGGCTGGTGCGCCCGATGGTCCAGGATCTGCACAACTGGTTGCGGACCGAACGCGCCCGAATGTCGAAGCACAACCCCGTCGCCAAGGCGATCAACTACATGTTCGAGGAGGACGGCCGCTGGGACGCCTTCACCTGCTTCCTCGATGATGGCCGCATCTGCCTTACGAACAACGCAGCAGAACGCGCGCTGCGGGGCGTCGCCCTCGGGCGGAAAGCCTGGCTCTTCGCCGGATCTCCGCGCGGTGGCGACCGCGCCGCCTTCATGTACTCCCTGATCGTCACGGCCAAGATGAATGACGTCGACCCGCAGGCTTGGCTGGTCGATGTCCTTGCCCGGCTGCCGGACATACCCCTGTCGCGCCTGCCGGAACTTCTTCCCTGGAACTGGTCGCAAATACCGCAAAGGAGGGCCGCATGACCCTGATCGCCCGCCTCCGGATCCTTCTGAACGACGTCGATCCTCAGCCGATGCGCCATATCGAGGTGCCGCTGAAGATCAGGCTCGACCGGCTGCATGAGGTGGTCCAGGCGTCGATGGGCTGGACGGACACCCATCTCTACGAATTCAGGGCCGGGGGGGCGGGCTGGGGCGTGCCCGATCCGGACGGATTCTACGACGGCCCGATGCCCGCGAAGAAGGCGACGCTGCAAAAGGTGCTCGAGGATACCGGCGCCAGGACGCTCCAGTATGTCTACGACTTCGGCGATGACTGGGACCACAGCATCCGCATCGAGCGGGTGAGCGAGGCCAGCCCGGGCGTGACCTATCCAAGGCTTCTGAAGGCCAGCGGGGCCTGCCCGCCCGAGGATGTCGGCGGTGCTCCGGGCTACGAAGCGTTCCTTGAAGCCCTCGCAGATCCGGACCACGAGCAGCACGACGACATGGTCGGCTGGTCAGGTGCAACCTTCGATCCCAAAGATGCCAGGATCGACAGGATCGTCGAACGCTTTGACCAACTCGCGAAGAAATGGTCCCCGCGGCCCGGCAAGCCCAAAGCACCCAAGCCCACTCCCTGAGCACGGACACCCGTGCGCGGCCTACGCCGGATGGTTACCCCGGATCTGAAGCTGGTCAATCCCAAGGTTGCGGCAATCGACATCGGTTCGACCATGCACATGGCGGCGGTGAACCCCGAGGCCAGCGACACGCCAGTCAGACCATTCGGCACGTTTACGCAGGACCTGCATCATATGGCCGACTGGCTCAAGGCCTGCGGTGTAACCAGCATTGCCATGGAATCCACGGGTGTCTACTGGATCCCGGCCTTCGAGATTCTGGAGGCGCGTGGCTTCGAGGTCGTCCTTGTGAATGCCCGATATGCCAAGAATGTGCCGGGCCGCAAAACCGATGTCAGCGATGCAGGCTGGTTACGTCAGCTGCATTCCTATGGGCTGCTGCGAGGCAGCTTCCGCCCGAATGCCGAGATTGCCACATTGCGCGCCTATATGCGCCAGCGTGAGCGGCTGACCGAATACGGTGCGGCCCATATCATCCAAACGCAAGTCCCGTCAGGCGGCCCTCCCCGGAGACATACAGACATACCGCGTATTTGCGGCATTATCGTCACGTTCGCGCGGCCCAGACCCTGTACCGGCCCTGGCCGGTGACCTCGCGCACGAGCCCGCGCGCCTCCAGAATTGCCAGGGCGCGCGCGAGCGCCGGGCGCGAGGCGCCGGTCTCGGCGACCAGCTGCGGCAGCGCGACCATGACATGGCGCGCGAGCGCGTCGACCAGGAGGCGCGGGGTGCGGCCCGAGAGATCGGCGGTCCCGGCCTCGGCGCGTGCCCGCCAGGCGCGCAGCTCGGCGAGCGCCATCAGCGCCGACAGCACCGCATCCCGGGTGCCTGCGATCCAGGCCGAGAGCCGCTGCTCCGGCGTCCCGCCCTCCCGCAGCGCGCCCACGCCGGTCCGCGCCAGCGGCAGGAAGCCGGCGGGCGGCCCAGGCGCTGCGGATCAGCGCCGGCCCGTCCGCGCCGGTGGCGCCGATGCGCAGGCTCGACCAGAGCGCGATGCGGTCGGCAGAGATGCGATCGCCGCTGCCCCAGCTCAGCGCCGCGGCCTCGGCCTGGGCCAGGCGGGCACCGGCCGGCGGCTCGAGGCTTTCGGCCCGTTCGATGAGCCGGCCGAGATCGCGCGAGAGCACGGCCAGCGGCTGCGCCAGCGCCGCTTCGGCGGCGCGCCAGGCCGCCAGATCGACCAGGGATGTGCGCGGCGCGCGCGGCAGCGGCGGGGCGAGAGGATCGGCGTCCTCTTCGGTGTCCGGGCCGGGCAGGAACCACAGATCCGCCTCGGCCGGGGCAGCGTCATAAGGGCCGGTTTCGTCGGCCTCGGGGTCCGGGAATAACCCCTGCTCGTATTGATCACGGTTCTTCACAGGATCAAAAATAGCCGATTATGAGCGCTACTCAAGCATTCATCTTTCGCGCCGTCAGCCGGCGATAAGTCCCGATTATCGCTGGAAACCAGGCGGCGCGATGAGCGCGAGATCCTCAAAGAGGTCGCCGTGATGAACCGTCCGAGGCACCATATCCATAAACTGCTGGTGCAAG